ACGTCCGACCTACAACCCTGGACGACATACTCTCTAGTATGCGTTTCGCTAGCATGTGCCTTCTGTGGTTACATGCCAAAATCAGATAACTGCACAATCAATCGAACTGTAAATTACCTCTAAGGACACGCCCTAAGGGCGTGTGACATGTGAGGGTTTTGCTCAAAATTCTAACGATTTAGAATTTGGAAGCATTCGAACAAGCTGATTAGATGTTCATACAACATTAGGAGATGGGAAAGTATATCCGCGCTCAGTATTAGGGTCCCCGCTATTACGTACGGTCAGTGGAACGCTATAAATCATAAGAATTAGTGAGTTCGTCACACGGCTAGTCAGTCGGGTTCCACGGTTAGTCAGTGACTTCTGGTAAACATTTATACGAATGGTCAGTGGACGTAACCCCCACCCATTTTGGGCGGATTTCCCGCTCGCGGCAGCCCAACAACCAAACAACTGATATAATTGCGGGGGGCGAGATATTTTTTCGCGCCAGCCTGGAGCTGCACATTTCGCCCTCACTCCAACCCTCGGTACTGTACATTTTGCCCTCCAATGCTTGGTACTGTGCATTTGGAGACAGGAGAGGGCGAAATGTACACTACTAAGCATTGGAGTGAGGGCAAAATGTACAGTGCCAAGCGTTGGAGCGAGGGCGAAATGTACAGTACCGAGGGTTGGAGTGAGGGCGAAATGTCCAGCGCCATGCTAGCGCAAAAAAAATCTCGCCCCCCGCAATTATTACAGTCGTTTGGTTGTTGGGCTGCCGCGAGCGGGAAATCTGCCCAAAATGGGTGGGGGTTACAGCGACGGAAAGTATTGCCCGGATAAAGTCCAATTTTAGGTTCAACACATGATTTGAATGCTTTCACCCGATGTATCGTTGAATGTTCATTGCTGACTAATAAGTTACGCGCGCCAGTTACAATAGGGTAACACGTTTGCAACCTGAATGGGTCGCACTAATAGCGTGGCCAAGATTTCAGTCGCGTGAGTGCATCCGGACAGTTTTGGCCAAGCAGCGGACTAGATCCGTTTTCGACTAGAGCATTCTCTCTATAGTTCCTAACGCAATCGTCGAGTAGTCAGAATAAAGTTTATACCCGAGGCGTAGACTACGCCAAGATTAGACCGATAGATGAGGCTCGTCGCGCCCGGATCGTGGCCCTGTTGCGTAGGGGGTTCAGCACGAGGCAAATCGCGAAACAGGTTGGCGTTGGGAAAAGTACAGTGCATGATGTTGGGCTCAAGGCGATTTCAGAGACTAGTCCCGAGGACGTTCGTCCTACAATGCCCACTGCTGGTCGTCCACGCGTACTGTCGAGTAGAATTCGTCGTGGGATCGTCAGGGCGATCACTAGCGGCGAGGCGAAAACCTCGAGGCATGCGGCCCAAATCGTCGAATCCCAGCACGGCATCACGGTGCATCCTAGGACGGTGCGTAATGCGCTCAAATCCAGCGGCCTTATCGCAGTTCAGCAGCCTAAGAAGCCGCGACTCACCAAGAAAAATATCCGCGATAGGCTGGCGTTCGCATGGGCCCACGCGGATTGGACCATAGATGATTGGCGACGGGTCATATGGTCGGATGAGACGAGGATTAGTAGGTTCGGCTCTGACGGCCGCGCGTACGCCTGGGTTCGTGAAGGTACGACTCTCCAACACCACCATATCAAGCAAACCGTCAAACACGGGGGCGGCGGCTTGATGATCTGGGGATGTATGACGTTTGAGGGGGCGGGTTTCATGTGCAAAATCGATGGTCGGATGGACGGGCCGCTGTATCTGAGCATTTTGCAAGACGAGCTGAAAAAAACCATCGACTTTTACAAGCTAACCCCCTCGGCTGTGATCTTCCAGCATGATAACGACCCCAAGCATAAGTCCCGTGTGGTGCAGCAGTGGCTTCAGGAGCAGGAGTATGGGGTCCTGGAGTGGCCGGCAGGAAGTCCTGATCTGAACCCCATTGAGCATTTGTGGGCTCATCTTAAAAGGGAGCTGGGAAAGCATGAGACACCTCCCACTGGTATGGTGGACCTGTGGGAGCGTGTACAAGAGGAGTGGGAGAAGATCCCATCAGAGGTGTGCTCCAATTTGATCGACAGCATGCCCAGGAGGGTGAAAGCAGTGATTAGGGCTAAAGGGCGGTGGACCAGGTACTAGTTTAAGGGTTTTTCAAGTTGCTGCTTCCGCCTGGAAATAATTGTCCACATGCACCGTGTTTGGTTATGTTTGCTGTTTACTGTTAACGATAGTAGTTTCATCAAATGTGTAGCATTTTAATGTCTCCCTAGATTAGCCTGCATATAGTGGGTAATGCCTCCAATTAAGGCTTAATGTTCAAATGCCCTTTAACGGTGGAAATTCAAAAAATTGCCAAACATGTGGACAATTCTTTCCGTCAGTGTATGTCTACTGTCCATTCGTAGAAATGTTTACCAGCAGTTACTGACTAACCGTGGAACCCGACTGACTAGCTGTGTGATGAACTCAGTAATTCTGATGGTTTATAGCGTTCCACTGACCGTACTTAAAACCACAGGCTAAAAAAGCACACCTTGGGCGCTCTTGAAAACTGTGTTTTTTGGTGGTCAGAATAAAAGACCCAGACTGGAGCACTCCACATGAAAAGTACCGAAAAAACATGTCTCGCGACATTTTGAAACGTAGCGAGAGGGCCACGACGCACCAAGCACCCCCACGACTTCGGTGGAATATGGTGCGACAAGAACTGAGGTCGCACAACTCAACCAAAATTGTTTCTGTGCGACCACAACCTCGAACCCATCGTTCAAGAGCTCCATGGGTGTGCTTCACGTTTCTAAGGAGGAGATAATCTCGTAGTCACACAAGCTTAGGAACCCACTCGCCCGTCCCTCCCCTGCCGCCCATCCTTCCCCTCTCGCCCGTCCCTGTGCGTGCGCCCGTCCCTCCCTTCTACCTATCCCCTCCTGACAGCCGTCGTGTCTCTGGATTCCGTCCCCGTCTCCCTTCCCCTCTAGCTCCCATCATCCCCTCAGGCTCCCACCATCCTCTCAGGCTCCCACCATCCCCTCAGCTCCCATCATCCCCTCAGCTCCCACCATCCCCTCAGCTCCCACCATCCCCTCAGCTCCCATCATCCCCTCAGCTCCCACCATCCCCTCAGCTCCCACCATCCCCTCAGCTCCCATCATCCCCTCAGCTCCCATCATCCCCTCAGCTCCCACCATCCCCTCAGCTCCCATCATCCCCTCAGGCTCCCATCATCCCCTCAGCTCCCACCATCCTCTCAGCTCCCACCATCCCCTCAGCTCCCACCATCCCCTCAGCTCCCACTATCCCCTCAGCTCCCATCATCCCCTCAGCTCCCACCATCCCATCAGCTCCCATCATCCCCTCAGGCTCCCATCATCCCCTCAGCTCCCACCATCCCCTCAGCTCCCACCATCCCCTCAGCTCCCACCATCCCCTCAGCTCCCACCATCCACTCAGTTCCCACCATCCCCTCAGCTCCCATCAACCCCTTCACCTGTTCCGCTCTCTCCTTCCCTCACTCTTGCCTTTTTTCGCAGGTCAGGTGCTCTTTCGTGTCCCTATGCTCACCCGCTGCATCTATGCATCCGATGGTAGTTTTGGAACATTGGAAGACAAGGGTGTGGATTGCCTTTTTTTTCGTTTCCACCAGGATAAGGCCCTTCTCTGTTTGCCTCCCATTCATAGTATCAATATTTGATAATGCTATCCAATGGAAGAAGTATACGTAGTTTGTTTGCATGCTAGAATGGGCGTGGCAACTACATGTTTGTTGCGATGTTGCGATTTATATTTGTATCTTTAGTAGCAATGTGAGAGTACATCGTTTAGTTTCCAAGTCGTAAGTTGCACAAATTTATAAGGGCTAGAAGTTTCATGTTGGAGTGTGTTCTTACTTGAGACCAGTTTGAGTTGCCTACTGACTTTCTATGCATGTTTCGACGCGACATCATGTTCTCTGGCCTTCAAGAAGGCCTTCTAGGTGCACTTTTCTTGAAAAAACAAGCCCTGGTTGCAACTTCTTTTCCGTCTCGGCAATTGGGTGGTGGTCGCGTATGGCCTTGGCTCCCTTGTCGCACGCATCCCAGTTTTCGCCCAACCTCCCCTAGGTGCGCAATGTGGTCTGTTCGTATCTGCCCAGCTGCCCCAAAATTGTCCCCTCAGTTTCGCCCACTGAACCCTTATTTTCAATGGTGACCCATGTTCAAGAGGGGCGCTCTTGAAGCCCCCCCCTTGCTTTTTTGGCCTGTGGTTTTAATAGCGGGGACCCTAACACTGATCGCGGATGTACTTTCCCCTAGGAAATCATACGAACAGCCATACGCAATTCCTGTGCCGTCAGGACCCAATTTGGAAGTTTGATTGTTCGAACGCATGCGACAACGTGCGATGAAACGCCCTTCGCCACACTCGCCACAGTTGGGAATTCGCAAGTGTTCGTCAGGGGAGTGTAACGCGGGAGGGAGCACCGTTCGAACGGTGCATGCCGGACCGTTCGAATGCCGCCATTCGAACGGTTTGTGTCCTCTCATTTGGGGTTTTCTCCCTCTTTTTTTTTTTGCGACACATTCGCAACGGCCCTTGCGACATTAACAAAACTCGTAACCCAGCGTTCTGTTCGGATTCTGGCGTTGTTCGGACCAATAGGTCACAGCCCTGAGTCCACGGCGAGCCTTCGTGAGATTGGCCTGATCGAGATTCATATGGTGATCTTATAGCGATGATACACTGGATGTTAGGTTCCGAGCTGCGCGCCGATGTAGCTCCCGCAATGGGGAGCAGCCAGGCTCCCAAGAGTCATTGGATGCTGGACATGATGTTGCGCCCACTGAAGCCGAATCCGATAGTGACATCTGGCATTGCGGGAAAGATGCAGATGATGTCCACGTGTCAGTCTGCTCCGGGAATCGCAGATCTGGAGGCGAAGATGCGTGGGGAGTGGGGCTACTGTTTGCCATCCGCCAGGCCGGCGGTCACCCTGGCAGACCTTTACCCGCCTCCTTGCTATCAGTCTCACTCTCAGGCTCATGCAGGAGTGAGAGAATGTGCTTCCGAAGGCGAGATTGGTCCTCTGAAAGGCTATCAGGCGCAGACGGGAGAGAAAGAAAAAGGAGCAGGCGGGAGTGAAAGGGAATGGAGCAGAGGGGGAGATCGGGCGTGGGGTTCAAGGGAAGAGGCCGGACGGCTCGTTGCTGCCTGTGCTGGCAGTGCGGAGGACAGGGCATTGTCAGGAGGAGAGAGAGGGTGCATGACGGTCGGTACTTGCTGCAGCAAAGTATTCCATCCGCACTGCCATACCGTACTTACTCTCCCTCAGATTTGCCGCTTTGCCCTTGCTGGATCCCCATGCTTCATCATTCCATTCACCTCCCTCATGCCCCTTCCTCTCTCCACACTCCCCTCCCCCCATTCACCGATTCCCCTCCCCCCGTCCCCTCGCCAGCATCCGCACGCCCTGGTGGACGTGGCGGTGTGTGCTCTCAGAGGCCAGCCCGCCGCCCTCTACGTCCTCGAGAAGCGCATCGCTGCACCCGCTGCACCTGCCATCCCCGCGCCCAGCCCTCAGGATTTCTTGTCTCATAAGAAATCTCAAGAGAGGAGACCAGCTTCAGGTGGATTTTCTCCTGCCTACCTGGGGTCCGGACAGCAGGAGGCACGGGTTGCAAGGGGCGTGCAGATGCGGGGGATGGAGGAGCTGGTGCTGGGGGAGATGGTGGCGGATGGGCACGTGTATCGGAGACTGCACTGCCTGGCAGCCTTGTTGCTGGCTCCACCTGCTGCTGCCGATGCAGCAGCGGCAGCAGCAGCCTGGGGCATGCCACGTGTGGCTGCTGACCTGGAAGGCCAGCTGTCCAGCTTTGCGTGCCCCCTGGCTCAATGCAGAATGGTGCAGCAAGCTGTGGATGCTGGCAGTGCCGGTGGCAGCCGTTATGGTGACGGTGGTGTGGGGAGGGATGGAGATTGGAGGGAGAGAGGGGAGGGGAGTGGGCACGGCAGTGATGGGGAGGGCTCGGACTGGGATTCAGAGAGTGAGGAGCTGTGGGGAGCTGGGTGGACAGGGGGGGAGAGCGATGATGAGAGTGAGGGGGAAGAGGAGAGTGCGTGGGGCAAAGACAGACAGCATCATGGTCGTGGTAGTCTGAGGGGCACGGCAGCAGGAGCGGCAGTAGCCAGGGCAAAACTTGGAGAGCATAGGTCAGAGGGGAGCGCCGTGAGGGCAGGAGGGGCAAGCGCAGGAGGGGCAGGTGCAGTGGATCCAAGTGATGCACGCGCAGCAGGGGCTGGAGGCGCAGGAGGGGCATTCGGTTCGGTTTTAGCAGAGGATGGCGCGGTGCTGAGGGGTTTTGGCCGGGCGCTGTCACTCATCCTCGCACAGTACGAGGCCGGGATCACCCACGTCGCCAAGGCATGCGTGGCTGCTATTTCTGCCTCCCCAGGAGCATCAGCATCCGCCCAACGCCTTGCACGCTCACAAGCTGCTCCAGGCAGGGCAGCAGCAGCAGCAGCAGCAGCAGCAGTAGAGGGGGTTGCAGCAGGGGCTGCGCCACGTGCTTCAGACGCTCTTCCTCTTCTGGCCATATGCACCAGTCCGCTGAGAGAGCAGCTGCGACGGCTGGTGCTGCAGCTGGGGATGGAAGCTACGGAGGGGCAGAGTTGGGCAGGGGATGAACGCGGGAAGGCGCGGGTGGAACAGGCGGGAGGAGGGTGGGGGATTGGGGATGATGGGAGAGGTGATGCATGGTCGATGATGTACCAGTGCCCTCAGGCAGTCACGCCTCCAGTTTCAAGCACACATGGCATGCCCCATACTCCACGCACACATGGCATGCCCCTGACCCCAGGCACACGTGGCATGCCCCTTACTCCAGCCGCGCATGGCATGCCCCTGGCCCCAGGCACGCATGCCATGGACCATGCGTACGCGATCAGCAGTGGCAGCAGAGGCATGGGTGCCAGAGCACCAACCCGCAGCAGCAAAGCTGCAGCCCTGCTGTCCTCCCTCCACAACACCCTCAAGCTCATGACAGCACATGCCGACAGCACCACCAACACCATCAGAATAACCAGCGCCAGCAGCAGCAGCAGCACGAGCAGGCAGAGGCAAAGGCCGGCAGGTGGAAGCAGAGGGGAGCCGTGGGTAGAGGCGGTGCGGTGGCTGTTCTTGTCCTCATGCCGGCCCCTCGTGTGCCACCTGCACCGCACCATGGCGTCCGGTGACCTCCCAGCCTTGCTTCCGCTCAAACCCCATGCGTCTGCTGCTGCTGCTGCTGCTTCTGGTGTTGCTGGCAGCCCCCAAACCCCTTTGCAGATGGTTACCCCATCATGCATGGTTACCCCAGCACGCGCGGTTACACCATCTCGAGGGATTACCCATTCTCGAGGACTCGCAGCATCGCAAGTGCGCTCACCGGCCCCTGTGTGCCCGTCCCCATACACGCCCTGTGCGGCACCGGGCACGCCTCAGTTCCTCTCTGCCCTCACTGCAGGGGGTGGCGACGCCAGGAGTGCAACGCTCTTCCCCCAGCCGAATAAGGTGCGTCTTGATGCGGGGTGCTCGTGTCCCGACTCCTGACTCTGCAAGGTTTCTCACCGAGTGGCAAGGGTTGTCACCTCCCCCCCTCCCACCCACCCCATGGTAGGTTGCTGGGAAGCTGGCACGCAAGAACTCAATGCTCCACGACTCTTCCTCTCTCGTACCTCAGTCCAATTCTCCCGCTTTTCATCTGCACTTACGTGATCCCCTCCGTCTCCTTGCCTCTGCCCCTCCCTCCCAACCAGTTCAACTACCTGCTGCCGTCGTTCCTCCATCCAGTGTCACACCTCGTTGTAAGAACAGCACAGCAGCAGGCCGTTCTCCTCTCCGCCCCATCCCCCCCCGTCCGTCAGCTCGTCCGCCGCCTCTCCTCGCTCCTCTCCTCCCTCTTCCTCCCCCACTCACACCCCCTCCCCTCTTTGTCACCCAATGGGAAAAAGCCAGGTCACGTTCTTACAGTTCTTGCGTCCGATTGGTCCATCGATTTTACCCTGGCTGGGGTGGCCCGAACCAGAGAGGCCATCCAGCACCGGATTGCCGAAGCTGAGCTGCAAGTTCGTGAGCTTCTGGATGCCCTGGAGCCTCGGTCCGGTGCAGAAGAAGTGGTTCGGATTGCTGACGTGGATCATGTGGTCCCGGGACAGATAGGGGTGCCAGGAGGTGTGCTGCGGGCTGTGGCTGAAGTAGGAGCAGGGGAACGAACATCAACAGCAGAAGCAGCAGTGACAGGCTCCGAGTCATTTGCAGCAGATGTGGCAGGCGTGGCAGCAGGTGGCTTAGCAGCAGCAGTGGCAGCATCAGCACCATTGCGCCCCCCTCCTGGTGCTGCTTGGTTGGCATCTTTCCATGCAGCAAAGGCAAGACAAGCGTTGGGGAGGGAGGGTGAGGAGGCTGATCGAGGGCATGGGGGGAGGGATCGAGGGAGCGAGCAGATCTGCAGCGCCTGTGGATGGTCGCATGACCCCTCCTGGCATGCACCTGGGGATGACGTGGCAGCAGCTGATTGGCCCTGGAAGGGCACCCACCCGCCTCCTTTATCCAGCCTGCTTGCCCCTGTGCGTGCATCAAAGACCCTGCCAGAACACAGTGCAAGTGTCACCACTGCTGCTATTCCAGCATCAGCACCAGACATCTCAGATACCACCTTCCCCAGCCCCACCGCTCCCAGTCCCACCTCCCCCAGTGCCACCTTGCAGCAGGCACGGCTGGAGTGCGCTGCCATGATGCGCCTCACAGACCCGCGCTCTGGCCCTGCCTTCCCATGGACGTGGATGGCTTGTAAAGAGGATGCTTGTAATGGGGATGCTTCTGGCGGTGGTGTGTTGCATGGTGTTGGTGGCATCTCATGGCATGCAGTGCTGCAGCATGCGTTGAAACATGGGGGCGGTGTGGGTATACTTGCACTGGGGCATGGGAGTGATGTGGGGATACATGCACTGGGGCATGGGACAGCTGGCCAGAGTGCGTGTGGGGGAAGGGTGGAAGGCCCAGATGGAGAACCGCAGCAGGAGCATGATGGGCTGAAAGAGAAGACGCAGGCAGGGGGAAAGGGAGAAGAGAAAGGAGGAGAGACGGGAGCCAAGAAGGGAGGACAGAAGGGAGGACAGAAGGGAGCAGCGGCAGACAATGGGAGGCGAGAAGAGAAGGGCGTCGAGCGGCATGGTGGGAATAAGGGAGGGAAGCAGGGTGGGCATGGGGGAGCAGCAGCAGCAGCACGGGGAGGCGGCAGTGTGACGGATGAGGAGAGGAGGCTCATGGGCTTGTCTGGGACAGAAAGATATGGGAGCTTCAATGATGTGGTCGATGCTCACATGCTGCTGCCCATACGGGCGAGGTATGTATGTTGGGATGCAAGGAAGATTGAGATGCAATCAACATGACATGGTATCGCGTACTGTTGTTGTGGGCCTTACTGCACCTTTAAGCTCACAAAGTAGACACCCTCTCTTTCCCACATTTCTTCGCCTCGCCCCCTCTCCCGCCTCCAGCCACACTGTAGTGAGTCGAGCCACGGTGCATCTGCTGCTCAGCACGGGTTGCTACAGGGAGCACTGTGCAGCGCTGAGGCGCCTCTTCCTCTCCCACCACTCCAACCTACCCTCTGCTCTCCTGCACGCCCTGCACTCTGTGGTGAGCCGTGCATGGTATGGTGAGCCTTGCTCCTAGTGGCACGGGGGGCTAGTGGCAGGGGGGGGTAGTGGCACGGGGGGCTAGTGGCACGTGGGGCTAGTGGCAGGGGGGGGTAGTGGCACGGGGCTAGTGGCACGGGGGGTAGTGGCACGGGGGGCTAGTGGCACGGGGGCTAGTGGCACGGGGGGCTAGTGGCACGGGGGGCTAGTGGCACGGGGGGCTAGTGGCATGGGGGGTAGTGGCACGGCGGGTCGTGGCACGTGGGGCTAGTGGTATGGGGGGGGTAGTGGCACGGGGGGTAGTGGCACGGGGGGCTAGTGGCACGTGGGGCTAGTGGCAGGGGGGGGTTAGTGGCACTGGGGGCTAGTGGCACGGGGGGCTAGTGGCATGGGGGGTAGTGGCACGGCGGGTCGTGGCACGGGGGGCTAGTGGTATGGGGGCCTAGTGGCACGGGGGGCTAGTGGCACGGGGGATTCGTGGCACAGGGGGTAGTGGCACGGGGGCTAGTGGCACGGGGGGCTAGTGGCACGGGGGGCTAGTGGCATGGGGGGCTAGTGGCATGGGGGGTAGTGGCATGGCGGGTCGTGGCACGGGGGGCTAGTGGTATGGGGGGCTAGTGGGACGGGGGGGGGGCAAGTGACATGGGGGCCTAGTGGCACGGGGGGGCTAGTGGCACAGGGGGGGGCTAGTGGCACGGGGGGCTAGTGGCAGGGGGGGGTAGTGGCACGGGGGGCTTGTGGCATAGGGGTTTAGTGGCACGGGGGGCTAGTGGCATGGGGCCCTACTGGCACAGGGGGTTAGTGGCACGGGGAGTTAATCGTACAAGGGGTTAGTGGCACGAGGGGCAAGTGGGGGGGGGGGCTAGTGGCACGGGGGGCTAGTGGCACGGGGGGGTCGTGGCACGAGGGGCTAGTGGCAGGGGGGGCTAGTGGCACGGGGGGTAGTGGCACGGGGGGCTAGTGGCATGGGGGTCTAGTGGCACAGGGGGCTAGTGGCAAGGGGGGGTAGTGGCACGGGGGGCAAGTGGCACGGGGGGGGTAGCGGCACGGGGGGCTAGTGGCACGTGGGGCTAGTGGCATGGGGGGATAGTGGCACGGGTGGCTAGTGGCAGGGGGGGTAGTGGCAGGGGGGTAGTGGCACGGGGGGGGGTAGTGGCAGGGGGGCTAGTGGCACAGGGGGCTAGTGGCACAGGGGGCTAGTGGCACAGGGGGCTAGTGGCACGGGTGGCTAGTGGCACGGGTGGCTGGTGTCATGCTTTTCCGTTTCCCTTGGTTGCTTCCTATTGCTTCCATCCGCTCTCCCTTCTTGCCTCTCCTTGCCCCACGACAGATTTGTGCCAGCGTACGCACCCTACCAGAGCAGTAGCATTTTACCTCCTCTGCTCTTGACACTGCCATCTCACTTACGTGTGTGTTGGTCCTTCCATCCATCCCTCCTCCCTCTCCCATCCCCCATTTCCCTACCCCTCCACAGAACTGGGCATGCCTGCATACCCTACCAAAGCAGCAGCACGCGCTCTGCTCCGCCCTTTAATCTGCCATCTCACTTACGAGTGCGCTGCTCCTTCCTTCCCCTCTCCCCTTCACCACCACCCCACACCCGCCCCACCACAGAACTGGGCCAGCCTACGCACGCTCACAGAGCAGCAGCTCGCGCTCTCCTCCGCCCTTGACTCTGCCATCTCCCGAGGCTGCCTCCCCTCCCTCGCCTCCTCCGCCTCCTCCGCCACCTCCTCCTCCCCATCCCCCCTCCATGCCTTCATCGCGCCCTCCTCCCTCGCCTCCTCCTGCTCCTCTTTATCACCGTCGCCCGCTCACCCAGCATCAGCAGTGCCGGGACTGCTGGGAGTGGGCAGTACCAGCAAGAGGCTGACGTGGAGCCCGTTGTCTGCCCACCGTGAGTGTCGCTCTTGCTGACAGATGACCGCATCCGTGATGAACTATTGCATGATAGCCGGGAGACCTGGGAGCGGGCAGAGGCAGCAAGAGGCTGACGTGGAGCCCGCGGAGCTCGGGATGAGGGCACGGGATATGAGGGCACGGAGTATGAGGGCACGGGGTATGAGGGCACGGGGTATGAGGGCACGGGGTATGAGGGCACGGGATATGAGGGCACGGGGTATGAGGGCATGGGATATGGCCTGCCAGTGCGGCGATAACGCGTCAGTGCATCCCTCGTTGCTTTCTCTCCCATTGCCTATGGGTGGCCCATCATCAGGTCTGGTTGACTTTGACTGTGTGCAGCTGGGGAACGAGCCATCTGAGTTGCTTACTTGGTCACACTGAATGCCTCCTGCCGTCGCTTGTACCCATCCCCAGGTCTGGGTGCATTTGACTGTGTGCGGCTTGGTTATGACCCGGGCTGACCTGCAGTTCAGGTGTTGACACCTCAGTGCGTCCTTACTGCCTGGCTCTCTCCATTTCCCACGGACCCATCATCAGGTCTGGGTGCGTTTGACTTTGTGCGCCTGCAGTACGACCCGGGCTGGCCTGCCAGTGCGGTGATAACGCCGGAAGTGGTGCAGCAGTATGGGGAGGCGCTGACAGCGCTGATGAGACTGCATCTCGTGCAGCGGGCGGTGGGCAGCGTCACCATTCACATCAAGGTGCGCCAGGTGTGGCTTCTGGGAATGCGGTGAGTGTCAGTGCTATTTACAATTCTCAAAAACACCCTGCAAAATCGTGAGTGTGAGTGTGGTGATAACGCCTCAAGTAATGCAGCAGTACGGGGACACACTCACAGCGTTGGCTCAAATGCGCCTCGTGCGGAGGACATCGGGCAGCACCACCATCCACATTAAGGTGAGGCAAGGCTGGTGATGGCGCCTCATGCTGGAGTGTGAGGAGACACTGACGGCGTTGCTTGGACTGCACCAGGTGCGGCGACCAGTGGGCAGCACCACCATGCGCATGAAGGGTGGGCCATGTTTTGGCCCTGCCATGTACTAGGTTTGATGCTCTGACAAACGTGGTTGTGTTGTCATCATACATCGTCCGCCTTGTCACGTCACGTGGTACCAATGCTTACGTGTCCCTACCCCATTCCTCCCTGCCAGACCCTCCGTTCGGCTCTCTTTCAACCACCACAACCATCAGCGGGAGCAGGCAGGTCATTGCACAGGGAGCGGTATCGCCGGCTGTGCTTCCTCAACGTGTTCACGTGAGTCCCCTTCACCTTCTACCCGTCCGAATGCTTGGCTTGCCTTCGTGGCTCGCTGGGTTAACTCTGATGCGCTTCCCTGCGCTCACTGTGCTCCCTTGTAGTATACACTCCTGCGCCTTCCCTCTCCCTTCCCCCCAGCATGCTTCCATGTGCCTTCATGAGCACTCCTGTCCCATCCCAAGCCTGCACTCACTCCTGCTCCCCCCGCCCCCCACCATCCATGACTCGCAGCTCATCTGCATGCACTCACATCCCATCCCCACTCCGTATTCGATCCTCATCCTGCCCCTTCCCCCAGCATCCGCGCGTCTGACCTGGTGACCAGCACGCTTGCCTTCATGACCACACAGGTGCAGCGATCAGCTCTGCTCGCACCCCAATGTACCATTCATCCACAACTCCCTATATCTGCCCTCCCGCCCTATTCCCCCCCCCCCCCCTACCAGCATCCGCGCGTCTCACCTGGTGTCCGGCACTCTCGCCTTCATGAGCGCTCAGCTGCAGCGAGCCGCACTGCTGGGCGACAAGATGCTGCTACTGTGCCCGCAGCCCTCCAAGCCCGAACAAGGGCACCCGCAGGTGGGACTGGTTGCCAGGGCACATGGGGGCGGTTAGCGCTGTTGCCGGACAGCATGGGGCTGCCAGACAGCATGGGGTTGCCGGACAGCATGGGGCTGCCAGACAGCATGGGGCTGCCAGACAGCATGGGGCTGCCAGACAGCATGGGGCTGCCAGACAGCATGGGGCTGCCAGACAGCATGGGGCTGCCAGACAGCATGGGGCTGCCAGACAGCATGGGGCTGCCGGACAGCATGGGGCTGCCGGACAGCATGGGGCTGCCGGACAGCATGGGGCTGCCGGACAGCATGGGGCTGCCGGACAGCATGGGGCTGCCGGACAGCATGGGGCTGCCGGACATCATGGGGCTGCCAGACAGCATGGGGCTGCCAGACAGCATGGGGCTGCCAGACAGCATGGGGCTGCCGGACAGCATGGGGCTGCCACACAGCATGGGGCTGCCACACAGCATGGGGCTGCCGGACAGCATGGGGCTGCCGGACAGCATGGGGCTGCCAGACAGCATGGGGCTGCCAGACAGCATGGGGCTGCTGTGCCTGCAGCCCTTCAGGGCAACACCTGAGCACCCACAGGTGGGCCTTGGGCTTCACAAGCACGGCCTATGTTTGGTGGCTAATTACCTGGATTTTGATACTATAACGGGTGGTTTCTGGCCGGAAATCCCTTTTTGACGGATTCGGTTTAGGGCCGAACCCATTCATTAACGGGTCGATTTCGGCTTGAAAACAGGCAGTAAGCCTAGGTTTTGGCGGCTTTTGGCCTGAAAACGGACTTTAACGGGTTGTTTCAGTAGGGAGCCTGGATCTGACGACTGGCTAAAAGACCAATCTGAAGCCCTGTTCACGTGGGGTCAGTAGGAGTTGGTCTGGCATCGTGCACTACATCCTGCCCAGCAGAATCACTCACTCTCTGCTGTATTCCCACCCAACCTTGTGTTGTTGCCAGGACCTGCTATCGTTCCAGGAGGCCCATGCGCAATTCCTGCTCTACTGCAGAACCAGGTATGGGTTCACCTGTTCTCCTGTTCCTTCCTCCTCGTTTTGCCGCTATCATCGGAGCCCACATGGGACGCATGCCATGGGACGCCTTTGGACCCACCCCTTTGCACGCACCCCTTTGGACGTCTGAGCTAGCAGAATACCTTGCCAAGTGTCTGCTGGACCCAGGAGTGTGCTCATGAAAGAGCGACTGTTGAGCCTGCTGCAGCTCATGAGAGAGCGACTGTTGAGCCTGCTGCAGCTCATGCTAGACGTGCACCGCAGGGTGGCGTTTGGCTGCTTGAACCCATGATTTCCTGTGCGTCATGCAGGTGCCTGCTGGACCCGGTGAATGCGCCCATCAGGGAGCGGCTGGACAGCCTGCTGCAGCTCGTCCTGGATGTGCACCGCAGTGTCGACTCTGCTCCCCTTGCCGCGCCGCTTGCTGAGTTCTTCCTGGATGACGATGTTCCCATCTGGGAAGAGGTGGGTGGTGCTGCTACTATTATTTCACCGCATTCTGGATGTGCATCACTGAGTGAACTCTGCTCCCCTGGCCGTGCCGCTCTCCGAGTTTTTCCTGGATGACGACGCTCCCATTTGGGAAGAGATGGGTGGTGCAGGGCTCTAAGTACATGCAGGTTCAGCTGATCCTAGACATGCACGTGGACGTGCATCGCAGTATTACCTCTGCTCCCATGGCAGCATTACCTCTGCTCCCATGGCAGCATTACCTCTGCTCCCATGGCAGCATTACCTCTGCTCCCATGGCAGCATTACCTCTGCTCCCATTGCAGCATTACCTCTGCTCCCATGGCCGCCCCACTCTTCGAGTTCCTTGATGACGGCGCTGCCGTCTGGGACAAGGTGGTTGCTGGAGGGTTCCTTACTTGGTGAGATTCTTTAGAATTCACAAAAATCTCTCACAAGGAGGGTTCCTTACTTTGGTGGTGAGTGGTTTAGGGTTTAGGGTTTAGGGTTTAGGGTTTAGGGTTTAGGGTTTAGGGTTTAGGGTTTAGGGTTTAGGGTTTAGGGTTTAGGGTTTAGGGTTTAGGGTTTAGGGTTTAGGGTTTAGGGTTTAGGGTTTAGGGTTTAGGGTTTAGGGTTTAGGGTTTAGGGTTTAGGGTTTAGGGTTTAGGGTTTAGGGTTTAGGGTTTTAGGGTTTAGGGTTTAGGGTTTAGGGGTTTAGGGTTTAGGGTTTAGGGTTTAGGGTTTAGGGTTTAGGGTTTAGGGTTTAGGGTTTAGGGTTTAGGGTTTAGGGTTTAGGGTTTAGGGTTTAGGGTTTAGGGTTTAGGGTTTAGGGTTTTAGGGTTTAGGGTTTAGGGTTTAGGGGTTTAGGGTTTAGGGTTTAGGGTTTAGGGTTTAGGGTTTAGGGTTTTAGGGTTTAGGGTTTAGGGTTTAGGGTTTAGGGTTTTAGGGTTTAGGGTTTAGGGTTTAGGGTTTAGGGTTTTAGGGTTTAGGGTTTAGGGTTTAGGGTTTAGGGTTTAGGGTTTAGGGTTTAGGGTTTAGGGTTTAGGGTTTAGGGTTTAGGGTTTAGGGTTTAGGGTTTAGGGTTTAGGGTTTAGGGTTTAGGGTTTAGGGTTTAGGGTTTAGGGTTTAGGGTTTAGGGTTTAGGGTTTAGGGTTTAGGGTTTAGGGTTTAGGGTTTAGGGTTTAGGGTTTAGGGTTTAGGGTTTAGGGTTTAGGGTTTAGGGTTTAGGGTTTAGGGTTTAGGGTTTAGGGTTTAGGGTTTAGGGTTTAGGGTTTAGGGTTTAGGGTTTAGGGTTTAGGGTTTAGGGTTTAGGGTTTAGGGTTTAGGGTTTAGGGTTTAGGGTTTAGGGTTTAGGGTTTAGGGTTTAGGGTTTAGGGTTTAGGGTTTAGGGTTTAGGTTTAGGGTTTAGGGTTTAGGGTTTAGGGTTTAGGGTTTAGGTTTAGGGTTTAGGGTTTAGGGTTTAGGGTTTAGGGTTTAGGGTTTAGGGTTTAGGGTTTAGGGTTTAGGTTTAGGGTTTAGGGTTTAGGTTTAGGGTTTAGGGTTTAGGGTTTAGGGTTTAGGGTTTAGGGTTTAGGGTTTAGGGTTTAGGGTTTAGGGTTTAGGGTTTAG